CTCACACACCTCTGTGGCTTCTGATTGGACGTATCATTTTTCTCACACGTGAAAAAACATCGTTCGCGATTCTGATTGGACGTATCATTTTTTTCACGTGTGAAAACCATCGTTCGCTCCTCTGATTGGCTAGAACTAATTTCCGTACGAAAATTTACGACATAGCTTTTTGGCGAGTATTTCTCAGTATGTATATAATAAATTGATGTACGATATGTGTGCAAAATCAGTCTTCCGGTGCTTCCAAACTAGCTAGAAAGTGTTAGATTGAACATTGGTCGCCCTGTGGTGCGGGCGGACGGGCGCGTGATTGTCAAATTTTCGGGGATGGGTAGATTTACTTACCCATGGTGCTCCGCAGGCGCGCTTCGCGCGCCAGAGCTCCGCTAAAAAAAAACTCAGTTTTATCTGCGCGACAGATCTGGACATAGGGGAGTTCGAACGTACCACTGTAAAATTTGAGTCAATTTTGAAGCAGTTTTGGATTAAATGTAAATAAAGTTGGGTCAACGTCATTTCGACGAATGAGCTGTGACAGAATCAATGTTGCTGCATTACGAATGAAAATTAGCTACCTTATTATAATAGAGAAATGCGAGTACATAAAAATACAAATAACTTAATTATAAAATTAAAATAGTTAATTAGCGTCTCCTATGATGTTTGGAAGAAGACTGAAGCTCATTCTTAGCATTAATTAAATAATCAGTCAGTTTTAACAAGAAAAAAGTTTCTTATAAGTCAGAGAATACCAAGCATTCAATCGTAATACATAAAAACTGTCTTACCTAATAATGCCTGATTCAGTCTCTTCAATAACAGTTAAAGGATATTGTTGTTTTAATTTAGGTCAGTTCTGTGCTGATTTCATCACTTACGACTTTTTTTTTCATGCACAAAATGTTTCTTTAGAAATTAGGGAGGAAACTGGCAAATAAATTTTAACCATAAAGTATACATTACTGGTGATGATTTTGAACGGATATAGCATCCATTCAATGTTTAGTTGTCGGTCTTAAATAACAAAACTGAACCATTATTTTTGGAATTCAGTTGATTGGAAGAAATGTTTCAGCTTTATGAAAAGACAGCAAATAACGTGACCTAGCAAATTCAAACAATATGCTATTCTCGTGAAATTAATTTCAGTTAACCTCAACACAAATGGACAAATCTATGACAGGATCGTTGGTGATTAAATTTAATTTTTTTAGGAACCAATCATAGAATAAACTTCGTCGTTATACATTGTGACTGGGGAAAAGCGTTTAATATATAGATTTAGCCAAGCCTAAAAGCGGAGCTCCCGATTTCATTACAATAATAATTACGATAATAATGATGTTAATGAAGATCGTTTTATTCACACTGGTACACAATTTTCTTTATTTCTTAAAATGCCGCCTAGTATTTAAATTGCCCGTGGGGGGAAATCTCTATTCCTCATAAGCTCGGCTTCTCGGAGATTTCCCCGCCACAGTCACTCCTCCCAAGTAATGCACAAATTTTAAGAGGCTGTCTCAGTAAAACCGCCCACTCAATTTCTCGTGAAAATTTATTTTGCCTGAAACTCTGGCGAGTGAAAGGCTTTATCGAGACTATAACTAAAATAGGTTTGCTTTGATTCAGAATAATTTTCTGGCCGCGCTGGGGGGCGCCGAGTATTTTGTCCCGCCACGGCCATTTTGCACGTCTTGAAAACTGAAAATTTGGCATTTTTTGCTGCGCGGTAAAAAGTTTGATTTGCACCATCTACCAATGAATTTTATACCTATTTATAGGTAAACATCTCTAGTTTTTC